CATCCTTCATCCAGGAACCTAAACATGCTAGGCTTCTGCTTTCCTTAGGTTTGTGTCAGAAATAGTCTTTTTCTCCATTGCCTTCATCTTTCACTTATGTTTTAAACCATATTGGGGTGTGACTGGTAGCTGTCATAGGAGACTTAGGTGCAATCTGGTGACTGGTTTAAATTCCAAAGCCAAAGCGCTGGCCTCGCCCTGGTAGTTAGATGCTTTTAATGCCTCACTGAAATTGTTAATCTAATTCCTCACCACTTTCTATATTCTTTTCCTTCCTGGCCTGGACACCCAGCAAACTGCTTCCTTTAAAATAACGTGCCCCTGACACAAAGTCTCAGAGCTCCACTTAAAATTGCTCAGCTCATATTTAATTCATCTTTGAATTTCACCAGCTGGAGATGTTTGGGTATATATTATGGGCATCAGACTGGAAAGCCCCAGATATTCAAGAGCTGGATAAATAACTCTTAATAACATGGAGCATAAAGTATTTGCTGTACCTGTTGGTCCTCCTCCAGCTCATAGGCAGAGGAAGAAACAGGATAAAAAGCAATGCAATGCTCAGGTAGTGCAGCGTTTCAGACTTGATCATCCTTACACAAATCCCTCTTTACTGCTGGTTTATGTAACAATTTCTTCCAACTTTATGGCTGAGTCACACCCCCCAGCCTGCCTTAATGTAAATGAAAAATCAAGCATTAATGTGATGTAACAGTTTTCATCTTGACAGCTGATAAAATCTGTAATGCACTGCATGCAGAGGGGCAATGCTGGCTTTGCAGAGGGGGGAACCAAAGCCCCAGTGGCTGGGGCTGTGCCGGGGAGCCTGGCAGGGCTGGTGGAGCTGGTGTCCAGCATCTCCTACACCACAGACCATAGGAGTCCAGTCACGTCCCTGATGTCTGACAGTGTTCAGTATTGCTTATGCTGCCAAAAGGTCCTGAACTGGAACTGAGAGAGAAGAAAGTAATTTCCCTCCTTAAAAACAGCAACCAAACTCAACAGGACTGGGGAATAACACTTTGAAGAACCAGAGGTTTTGGTTGGGCAGCAGTCTTGAGAGAGATAAGTCAGAAGACTGAGGGGTGTGTGGGAGTAAGGGTTTATGAAGTGGGTGCATTGATTTATCTGCTGGTTCCTCTGGTCATCAGTGGGTTCTGCTCCTTAACGCAGGGCAGTCACCTTCCTTGTTCACCTCCAATGCTGCCTGTGTATTTTTGTATTAGAAGCAGATAGCATGTGTTTTAGACTGAGCAGAGGTTTACATTCTGGCCTCTTGAAGGACTGCATGAGAAATGAGTTATACTGTTGAGCAGTCTGTCTGTAAAACTGTTACTTTCTAGTTACAAGACATATTTTAGGGTATTTCTGGAGAATATGGTCTTGTGAGATCTTTGCAGCTGGATTTCTGAGATCAGGTTTTTCATGAACATTCAACATTCAAAATGCAGATGGGGGAGGAGAAATGGGTGCGATTTTCATTAGCGGTTAGGTTTATTAAGCAGCTATTATTAGGTATCTAACAGTTATTCCCAAATGTAGACACTATTAAAAATCTGGCTTATGGCTTTAAAGGTAAAATTACAGAACAGACTGCAACCAAAACCGTTAAAACTGCAGAAGCTTTTTAAAATATATTGCTTAATTCCGGTGAGGATTGCATGTGGGATATAGTTAGATTGAGATCATATAAAGGATTTCTTAACATGTGGTTGGGATGACTTGCACAATCTACTTATAACTGCTGTTTGTGAGCAGCAAGACCATGGCAGAGCATCCTTGGGAAACTCAGACCAGTGCCAGGGAGAGTGAAGACTACTGGTGACAACTGGAACTAGATATTGTAAAAAGTTCTTTAATTGAACAGCCCTTTGATGGAATTACAGTGCAAAATTTAAGGACTCTGCTTAGTCTTTTCCCACATCTTAATGTAAAAAAAATTGTAAAGCTGAATTATTTAAGAAGGCAGCCTGCATATTATCCTGCTTCACCAGTGTTTGCAAGACCAAACAAATCTTCTCCAGTTAAAGACCCCAACTGTGGCAAGAACACGAGTTTTATGAGTAGTGACAGTAGCACTTTAGTTCTGTGCTACATATGTCTCTACAATGTCATGTGTTTAGTCTTGCCCAGTTTAATACAGCAAACTCTCCACTGATTTGAAGATTGCATTTTTTAGCTTTTAGCCAGCACAGACACTGTGGTTTGTATTTTATATTTTTATTTTGAGTTCTGATGTGATAGAGGATACCATTTGCTGTGATCAGAAGTGTGCTTTCAAATATTTTTAAATATTTTATAGATTAGCACTCAAAAGGAAGCAGAGCCTAGAAGAAAAATAACTGCTACTTCAGCTTCTTTTCTGTGACTGCTGCTGAATTAATGATTATTTTTTACAATAGCAGGCATGAAAGGCTTTAACGTTCAGGATACCCAAAAACATTTAAAGAGGGAAGCCCAGGTGGAGTCCTAGATTAGTGGTGACAGGCTGGGGCCAGTCACTGGGAGAGGGGGAGTTGCGGGTCACCTGTAAGGACAGGGAGAAAGGGGGCTCCTGGGGGCATCCCAGGTCACCTGCAGGCAGGGGGAGCGAGGGACCACTGCCCTGGGGGCATCTTCTTTTCCCTGCTTGTTGCATTTGGGCACATTAAATGGTCAAAACTTGTGTAAGAATCTCTGTCTGTGTATGTGTGTATACACATATATATGTGTGTCTATAGAGGGATGGGATAGGGCAGAGAGGGAGAAAGTAACCACATGTTTTATGTATTTGGATTTGTATAAAGGTAGAGAAATCAAAGGATTTTGATTTTGGAATGACAAACTGACTAAATGAGACAAAAAAATAAACACAGCTGTTCCTCCAAAGCAAGAAAGGGAGAGAAAGGTATCCAAGAGCCCAGGCCACCATAAGCTGTTGATTAACCAAACCAGCTGTTATTTAATCCAACTTTCTCTGAAGTATTGAGGGTTTTTGGAGTGCCTTGAAAATCAGATGGTTTGGCTTATCTATATCAAATGTGGTACTATTTTCCCCATCTTTCTGTTTTTAATAGTTTCCATTTGATATTTGTTTGTTTTTGTTTTGTGTCTTCAGTTTCAGTGTTTCAGAAGGCAAAGCAGTCTGAAGTTAAGTGGTTTACAGAGCCTGGTTGATCTTCTTCAAGCCTCTAAAGCTACCTTCAATGACTGTCATATTAGTGGGATAAAGAAAGGTACTGTGCTCTGTGGAACCAGTCTTCCTTGTTTCTGTTCTGTGCTCTGAAGTCATTGCTCAGGATTTGATGTGGATGCTGAAACATCAGTTTAAAAATTCTTCGCTTTGATCTGAAATACCTGATAAAAAAGCATGGATTTTCTAGAGTCCTTCTTTCTATGTTTCTAATCTTTTTATTTCATTTACCACTCAGAATGCCTCCATTTGTTTTATCTTTTGTAGTGCATATGTAATAAATTTTAGGCCACAGATGAAAACAAAATCCCGAAGAGATTTGGGTAAAAGGAAAAAGAAAGTAACAAAGGAAAAGTGGAGAAAAAAACACAGTAACATGAGATCAAATGTTATTTATGCTTGTACAGTGTTTATACACATATTTCTGAACAAACATCAGCTATATCCCAGCTGTAACTTTGCCTTGTTGTTAGCCAGTTACAAAAGCATCAGTACTCTATTCATTGTCAGCTATTTAAGTAGACTCTTGAGATAAGAACGATGACACTTTCAAAAATTTGTTTCTTAGTAAAGGCTGGTGTCTCTCCAGTATGTTCCCATAGTCCCTGTTTACTCTCAAAGCACAACAATCTGTTCCCTTCCCATGTTTCCCATGCAGATGTTACATATGAGACTTGTGTAAAATGTAGGCTTACCCTGGCATACTTATAGCTGTACATCAGGACTCTGCCCAGACCTATAAACTGTGTGTTTATGTGTGTGCACTGTGCTTGCCAGGGCCACACCAGGTATGGGGCTGGGCAGAAGGGAAGCAGGGAATGACTGGCTGTACTGAACTGGGAGAGGAGGAAGCAGCTCAGGCTGTGCTCATGACCTAAAGATCATAGAATCATAGAATGCTTTGGGTTGGAAGGGACCTTTAGAGGTCATCTAGCCCAACTCCCCTGCAGTGAGCAGGGACAGCTTTAACCAGATCAGGTTGCTCAGAGCCCCGTCCAACCTGACCTTGAATGTTGCCAGGGATGGGGCCTCCACTACCTCTCTGGGCAACCTGTTCCATTGCTTGACCACCCGCATTGTAAAGATCTTTGGAAGTTCAAAACTGTTGTTCTTTCCTCAAGTATTACCCTCACATCTCTCTGTAAATTTTCTGCTAATGGTGAGTATGATGTCCCAGCAGCATTAGCAATAAGCCAAGGCACTAAAGGTTTTGCCATTTCTTTTTAACATCAAACTATTTTGAATGAACAGTGCTGTGTCTTGTAATATCAGTCCTAGATGTGAAGCCCATAAATGGTGCAGTGATTTCCTCACTCAGTTACTAACTGGCCTGTGACAGTGACATTGACATTGCAGTTGCAGACACATGCAGATTGGAAATTAATACACTGAGATTGAAAGTTATGACAGCATATAAAAGTCAGACCATCCAAGCTTTATTAAATCACTTAATAAGAGCTGAGTGAAAGTATCTAACAAGCATGAGAAAACCTTGGATTACCTTATTTGAATTTTTTACTTAATGAAAACATAAATATTTAAAACCCATGAAGTTATTAACTAAATTAACCAGAATTATTTTAAAGGTACAATTTATTCAGCCAGATCATCAGCTGATGCAGTCTCCATTTAAATGGATAGAGCTATGCCGTTGTACACAGCTTGAGCTCTAGATCATGATACTAATAAAGTCATATATCCTTTTTAAGCATACTGCATTAGGAGCATGAGGGGGGTTTTGTGACAGTTACGTATGTTTGTCATATGACTTAAGAACCATAAAAACACATTTAATATTTTAAAAAAAAGTTCACTTATGATAACTTACCATTCTATAAAGTTTATCCTCCAGATCCTGATTAATTCTTTGTAAGGCTAGGTAATTGTTTTGTATCCTAAAACAAAGATGATATCATGTAATTGAATGCATTGGTTTTTGTGTTGTTTTTACCTGTAATTTTCACATCAGTACAAAACCATGGCTTGCACTACTTGAAATCTATTTTCTTATCAATCCTGTTGCCAGTCAGTGGTTGCCTTTGAAATGTAATTACCACCTACTTCCTAAGCAAAGCTTCTTTGTCATGTTTGCTTACTATATTTAGCAACAAATTCCATCAGGAAGTGAAAATATGTTTGCTGTTCTGCACTTGTGTGCAGACATGCATCGCAGCATGGGAACTTGCACAAAGAGATTGTAGCTTTACATCAGGCTCAGGAATGATATGTTAGCCAGGAAGTTTGAGCTATATGCTTAGAAAGTACAGAAAAAGATTTATGGAGCTCTCTTGATAAGGAGAATTGCAGCAGAAACAGAATGACTGTAGCAAAAGCAACACACGGGCATCACCACATGACTTAGAAGAGAATGTTCCTTCTTTTGACAGAAGTTCAAGAAATTGCCTATTCTCAAGAGCTAAACATATCCCCTTTCTTCAGGAAATACATTTAGATAGCTTAGCCTGGAAAAGTTGGGTATTTATTTTTATCAGCACTGAGGGATTGAATGGACTCACAAAATGAGACTTCCCTGCTTATTCCAGAGCAATACACCAAAGAAAAGTTTCAGTCTCTACATCTTTAGGTTGCTTAGATGGTAACCTTGGTATTGTAATGAACAAGCTGGACAGCCTGTGGGAAAAACATCACTATTTGGGTAGGAGCTGTGCCTTTCCACAGAAGGTAAGGAGGGTAGCTCCTTGTTCTTGTTTGCACATATCACCTCAGCAGGATTTATAATGAGTGTAAAGCAAATGTTAGAAGCTCAGCTGTGAAAAGTTTGTCTGAATACATCTATATGTTCGTACTGAGAATCTTAGGTCAGTAGGTCAAAGTATTTTCACTGGTGAGTTGATTTTAGTGGGCAAGTGTGTTCACTGTAAGAGTGAACTCGGATGTAATACACATTCATTCAGCAGAAAACCACTTCCTCTGAGAAGCCTGGATTTGGGTGTAGTTTCCATGATGATCAGGAAGGGACTGGGATTAAAGAAGTCTCTTTGGCTTATTGGATGGTTAGGAGTGGCTGTTGAAACCAGAACTAAGACCTGCATTCGAACCATGTCTTGGCTGCAAATTGAGGGGTCCAGCCTGCCTGTTCCTGGCAGTGAAGCAACATGATGGTTCAGGTCTCTCCCTGCTTCTGTTGCCATGGAGATTTTCTTTCCAGTTAAGTGATCAAAATTCTCTGTTCAGGGGCAGGCCAGCGGCTCACGGTGCCCCTTGCAAAGCATGCAGAGCTCCCACTGGGGCTCCCAGTAATACCATAACATCTGCTGCACGGACCTGGGAGGGGAGGTCTGTGCTGAGGACAGCTGCTCTGTGGGCATATTATTATTTATGACATCCCCACGGGTGAAACTCCCTGGGGTACCGAGGGTCAGCCCAGACTGAGGACAGCTGTTTCAAATATGCATTGAGAGCCTGGGGGAAGTTTCAGTGTTGTGTACATTTTACAGATCTGCTAAGCAGAGATTTCCTCCCTGTAAGGAGGATCTGTGGTAGAGAGTGTTTGCTAAGGTCGTGACCCAAATGGGCTAAAAATCTGTGAAACTTGTACTAACCTATGGCTTGTCATTACTCACCACTTCTCACAGTGCCCTTGTGTAAATGTCCAGGTGACTTAAAGAATTGACTGAAGTTTATGGATCTCTGCATTGTCCATGCTCCTGTTAGATGCAGCATTTGCTACTAAGCCTCTGTATAGACATTTATTTGTGCAGCTCTAGGTATACTTGGGATTTTCACAGCTATTTAGCCACAGTCAACACAACAAAAAGAAATGCTAGGGTACCCTGTACTCAGCTTTTCAATGCAAAGGAGAAGGCAGAGATGATCTTGGTAAACCAGTGGAAGCAAAGAGGCTTAAACTGGCTTTGTCTGCAAACAGCTACTCAGCCCTAACATCGTCATGTTTTGTTGGTAAGGTTGTGTGCCATGGTGCAGGGAACAAGGATTTAGAAAAATAAGATAGGGCCTGCTGGCTAAGACCAGAGGTGCCCCAGTATCTTGTCTGTCATGGTCTGGCCATTTTTCTCTAGTAAGGCAAAACAGAACAGGTTAAACTTGCTTTGCACCTAGGCAGCTAGTGGCTCAACTAGAGATGGTGTAAAACCGATGTAAACTTTTAGCACCTGCAACCTCCTAAACATTTGCACGGGTTCAAAAGCATCTGCATAAATTCCTGAAAGAAAAGGAAAAGAATTATTGGTTGAGGACTTTTCTAGCTCAGGCCTTCCTGTATCCCAGTCTGTTATGCAGTATGGACCTATGTGGAGAGCTCAAGGGAGACATTGAAGGTACCCTTTCCATATCTGTAAGATCATGAATTACCAGCAGTAATTGCTACTTGGATATCTGGCTTATGATGGTGGCAATGCATCATTGGGTTTGCTCCTCAGCTTCTGTTGACACTGGTTTTCTCTTGATATGGATGACTGGAAGATTAGTTACCATTACTATAATTGTTCTTGGCTGGCAACACTTCCATGCCATAGATGGTAGAGGGGTTTTGCACCAGCTTATTACAATCTGCTTCTCTCCTTGTAACTTCGTTTGTCTTTGCCCATCAAATTTTCCTCTGTTGTATGTTAGGTGAAAGTAGCCCACAAACCCTATTTCTCCAACACATTCATTTTACACTGAAAAAGTTGACCATTTCCCAGTAAAATCAAACCCAATCTAAACAAAAAATCCACAGTAAGTAGGAAGCTGAGCTTCAAAAAGTGTTTCTATTGAGAACATTATGCAAAGGTAGTCAAAATAAGCACAAACACGTGCACCACATACACAAGCACATACACATGCACATATACGCATAAAACCCAAATTGGAAATCCACTGTGCCAAAAGAAGTGTCAGCAAATGTGGGTGGCAAGGAGAGAAATGGACCCAGAAATATATGGAAGAAAGTGTTAAAGGGATAAAAGAGGAACAGGGTAATCAAATCAATCTTTGGGCAACACTGTAAAATAAAGGAGGAGTAGGGAAAATTATTCCAATTTGAAAATGATCAGATGAGCAAATGGTAACTTAACCCTGTTTGCAGAAAAAATACACCCAGATAGCCTGAACCTTGTGAGGTATGAAACATTTTAACGTTGTAAATCTGGCTTCTTGGTAAATAAAGTCATAGGAAATAGGTCAGCTTCGCTACACTGTGAAACTGTGTTAAGAATAAACTCCTGTGAATCAATAACTTATTATAATTTTTTATAGCTTTTTGTGTCGTTCATGGTAGTAGGTGATACCCATGTGCCTCCAGGTACATATATGTACATGCATTAAATGCATGTTTAGGTTCTGGACTAAATTAGGGCCTGCTGAAAAGTATTCAGACCAAATTGAACGTTACATATCTGTGCTCTAACCCAGCAGACAACACACTCCTCTCTAAGACTGCAGATCACCACTAAAGAGGAAGTCTGCAAAAGCCTCTGTTTCTCTGCTTCCACTCAGTCTCAAGCCCTCTTAAGGCCATGAAATATATCTAAAGTAAAACACAGGCTTGGGCTGACTTTCTCTAGAGAAACTAGAGAACAGTTTAGCTTTGAACGGTGACTGTTAAAATGGTAACTTCTTGTTCAAAAAACCTTTTCCCTCTCTGGTATCACAAGTTACACTGACTTCCTTATGAAAAACAAGGGGTTTTCCCTCATTTATTCCAAAGCTAATACAGCTACAGGATTCCTGTTCAGAATACCCCTTCAGTTCATGAAATGTCTTGCTTTTGGTGAAACAATTACGTGTGGGGGCTATGTATGGGTTTATTTCTTGTGTCTTAAAAGTACTCTCTTTAAAAGTAAAAGGCAAAAGTAAAGTAAAGGTAAAAGCTCAGATGGGGACCTTGCCAAGTTGTTACCCAGAGTAGGTTCTAAAGCAGGAAACCCAGCGTCACCTTTAGAGATCAGTTTTGGTTCCAAGATTGGTATTTGAATAGTTTTTAAATTCTAACTTAAAAAACCCATGCCAATCATGTCAGATAGGGGATCACTGTGAGGTATATGAAATCCTCAATCTCTTTTCCATCCCTTTTCAAAGCCAAACCTATGCTTTACAGTTAATATTTTCAAACCCACTCAGCACTGCCCTGATCTTGCTCCCCCTGACCCCAAAGAAAAAACACATCTCTGCAGAGAGGTCGAAAACTCGACCATCAAGCCATGTAAATGACCTCCCTGCTTGGGTAAGAGAGGAGAGGCCTAGCAGCAACACAGGTAATTCTGGATAAATTAAGACAATATAGGCTTTCAGAAAGGAGTAGAAAAGGATGGCCATTCAGCCTCTCAGAAAAATTCTGCACTTAACAGTAATGGAAATTTAATAACAGAAATGTTCTCTAGTATGCAAGTGGGATCTTGTTACACAGGGCTTATTTATTAGGGGGCTTGAATTTCTCTCCTGTACAGTGAATAAAGCAAGAGACATATTATTGAAACTAATTCTAGTTCCTTGTTTTTCTCACACTGATATTCCTCTGTGACATGTTGCTGACACGCTTTTGGATGACAGTTTTGTTTCAGACATCATCCTTCTCCAGGTTGAGAAATCTAGTTGTTCAACTTGAGGTATGCCTTGCTATTCTCAATAGAAACATTTTTAAAGCTCACCTCGTAAAATATTTTGGGCTTCCAATATGATATGTCTTCAGGGGAGTAATCATCTGCCTGAAACATAATTTTTAATATAAGTTTTCTTCATAATATTGTACAATGTTCCATCAGAATATCGGAAAGTCAGTTCTACTAATCTTATGTTTGGTACAAGTACTAGACCTTGCCATGAGCAAAACCCAGACTTTTCAGCCTAAGTTGTCAAGGGTGCTCAACTTATCGGGGCCCAATGAAGTTGATAAGAGGCTTCCTACTGACTAGGAAGCCTCTTTGTTTTAACAGAAGTGGGATGGTCAGCCCCTCTGCTAAATATGACACAGGATTTATGGCAGCCATGCCTGAAATAATGTTTCAGGAAAAAAAAGTACCAACATTCCCTCTTCTTAAAGCTGAAGTATAATGGAACAGAACTACGTCAAGAGCAGAGTTACTTTCAATAGCTCTGCTCTGAGTGAAGTGACAGGAAAAATATTGTTGACATGAAAACAATATGGAGACTCTTCAGACTGCTCTTGATACATGTGTGTAGATTTCAAGATTAAACACCTGCTTATTTGGGTCTTGTTTTAAGAAGCCTCCCCAGTTAGGGAAGCATTTAAGTTATAAGACCATACTAGGATGTTTCCTAATTTGAGGTCTTACACCCTTTTTCTGTTTAAAATTTGCATAAAATGGTTTGGCTGACTCAGTTTGTTGGTGGTTTCTGGCTTTGGTTTGGTTTGGGTTTTGCCTTCTGCAAAGAATGAAAAACATTTCTTTGAGTATAGCCCTGGAATGATTCGTTCTGAATTTCATTGTGACTCATCCAATGAACTAAATCAAACAGTTCAATTATCTACATCAGTTTAGGAAAGTCCTCACAAGGAATGCAAATACATTCCTGCATAAATGGACAACTGTAGGTTCAGAAGTTTTGCAAACAAATGAAAAAATGGATATTAAGAATCACTGATAAATGTAAAGCTAGATTACAGACCATTTTAATCAGTGCCAGGAATGTCAGGAGTGTGTGCTTATTGTAATTTGTCATTAACATTAACTGGGACCCTGATTTGCAATAGCACTGTACCACAGCTTCAATAATTTTAAATAATAAGTTTTCAGTATCATTCCATTCTACTTGGGACTAAAAAGAAAATTATTTGCTGTAGCATAATGTGAAATGTCATAGTATTATTTGAATTGAACATAGTCTCAGCTTTGAGTGATGGAGGGCCAAATTCTGTTCTCTTGGTTCAGTGCAATGGAGAGTAATAACAGACAATATGCAGCCAAAGGCATTAAAAAAAAAAATCTATCTGTATATATACAGTATAAGTATGCTTATGTAGTATGTTTATAACCTTCGTATGTGTAACACAACATGGCACTAACCTACATGTATGTTTACACATAAATGATGTCATATGTATACCTATGTACATGTATTTCTATTTGCATGTTTACTTTCAATACAGACACATCTTACATATCACATGTAAGTAACTTCATGTTGTATGTAATATATATTCAGATAAGTGAAATATATATATTCAATGTGAAAACACAATGTGTAATCAATAAACAGTAACTGATGTATGTTTGAGACTATATGCTTACATTTTTACTTACATATGTCTTTAACACAGCCACTTGTAAATTCCTAATAACTCTGTTTATTTCAAAAAGTTAGTTACTAACCTTCTCAGTTTTTCAGTTACTTTTTCAAGTTCCTCCTGAGCACGTCTCAATTCTATTTCAAGATACTGACGTGTAGAATCAAATTCCGTTTCAAGCATTTCCAGCTTATGGGTAGTGTACGATAGACGCTTTCGTAATTCCCCCTTCTGTTCTTGCAAAGTACTAGAAAAACAAAGACCACAGCTGTAGAATTTAGCTGTTCCCAAAAAGCTTTTCATGATCCACTCTTTGACCAATTCCCTACAGTATAGGTTGGCATTAAGCCAGAGAAGTGTGCTTAATAACTTGTTTACTGCACTTTGAAAATCTTCTGATTTAGACAGTTGACTGTCTTCCCATCTGTCCTTTCTAGCGCATTCATTGCTAATATCTCATTAGTCATAATGGACTATTTTGTGAAAGAATCCTCATTAAAATACAAAATACACTCTAGAGTTTGGTTTCACACAGGACCTTTCATTTAGAGTTGTCTTAAAATACTATGACCAAAGTAGCACATATCAATAGAGCAACAACTCTAAATAAACTGTGCAAAAATATTTCCTTGCCAATAACCCGAGTTATAATATATTTTGTGGAGAAAGAAAATTTTGTCTCATTTGATTCAATTACCACCCCAATCCCTGGCCATATTGCTGCTACAGATGTTATTGTTGAGCATCTCATCTGGTGAATGGTAATTAATTAACCTTGTAGTAATTTTAAAGTTATGGCTCTTGCCCCATTTTTCCACTTATTTGAGAGCAAAGACTTCCCAGATTCAGGTGTGACCCCTAGTTTTTCACAGTTCTTTCACTAAGAAAGAACTTATGCCCTGCTTGTAAGCTAGCTTCAGTTACACTCTGACAAAACAAAGCACTAGGCACAGAATTTGGAGAGAGGAGGTTATTCACTTTGTTGTTTTCTGTTTATTTGTAGATGACATAAGATAGCATAAAGCCAGGAGATCCAAGCAAAATTTTCATCATGACGGTCCAAGTGCCATCTGCACCCAAATAGTCCCTCCAGATTTGCAGCAATGACCTGGGGATCCTTCTCTTGCTTTACTGGAGCTCAACTATGCAACTTCAGGTGAGCCAGTCTGCACTTGCCTCAATTCTTATCTGCACAATGGAGAACTTTTATCCTTGTCTATTTACTTTGTACGCTCCTCACTCTTCTAGCATGTTTGCCAGTTGCACAGCAGGACGGGGTTCCAGTCAGAGCTGGTATCTCTGGAGGTCATTGTAACTTGGGTCAGATACTGCAGCCTCAGTATTAAGCTGATCTCTTGGCTTCAGGTGTGACCTCTGAGGCATTACAGAACTGGACTCTGCCATCATCTAGGGATGAAAGTGCTACCACGTGATGCATTGTGAATTGTCTTGCTTGTTTTTAATCATATGATAAAAATAATTCTTCATAAAAGAATAGCAAATCTTGATTCCCTTTGATGTCAAGTGACTACTGCCATCAGATTCAGTAGAATAATGTTTTGGGTCTTTAATTAGGCAAGAGAGTTGAGAATAACATGCCATTCTTCAAGAAACACTTCTCTGAGCTGTCTTCAGTGTGACTGTTTTCTCCTCCACAAGCTGTGATAGGAGCTTCAGTAAGTTAAGGCAAAAGCTTTACAATTGCTGCTTACTTGATCCATGCAGCTAGGAAACAGTCTAATGTTTTGCCAACACAGTGCTCTATTTCAATTACACATATTGCGTGGTTACAGTTATACTTAGATTACCAATTGTAGTTATATTTTCTTAAAATAATATATTCTAATTCAGACATTTAATGCAGCTCCAGTTAATGCAATCATTTAGTTTTTATATTTCACTTGGTGAATAAACCCCCCAAATTATCTAGGGAAACGAGAATCTGAACCCATGCTGCTCATTTCTGCATGTCCTCATTCATGACATTACCACATCACACCGCCCTTCACTTGCTCTGCTTCTGGCCTGTTGTTCTTGCTACTTATCTGCTCATCTTGGGAAAGAAGAGTGGTCAGTTTTCCTTCCTGTAGCCTGGCAAATTGAGTTTTCTTCTGTGAAGTGGGAGTTACAGTATCAAAACTGTTTAGAGTGAAAAGAGATTTGATCTCAAGTATTCTGCTGCTCTAAAAATCTAACCACTAGGGTTTGTACAAAAAGTAGACCATAGGTCCTCCAGCTATGGGTTTGGATAAAAATGCCCAGGCCATGCTCTATGCTGGGCAAGTGCAGTTAATGCAAGTTAAGCCAGATCAGGGGAGGTTACAGCATCCGGCTGCACAGGGGAGTTTTGGCCACAGGCAGAGTTTGACCTCTGGGACAAAGAGGGGCTGTAGGGATACAAATATAATGGGAATGCCAGGGATGTTTAAGTCAGTAATACCTGAAGACTGCTTAACAAAAGAGGAAAAAGAGGAAAGTTAATGGCCTCCAATAACTTTGTCTTCTGGTTCCTCATGTAGGTACCTTTTTGCTTTGGATCTCAGTTGTGTGAAGATTAGGTAGCAGCAAAGCACTCGAATTAAGTTGCTTCTCCTATGAGGCCAGGCTGAGAGAGTTGGGGTTGTTCAGCCTAGAGAAGAGAAAGCTGAGAGAAGACCTTATTGCAACCTTCCAGTACTTAAAGGGGGCCTACAGGAAAGATGGGGAGAATCTTTTTAACAAGTCCTGTTGTGACAGGACAAGGAATAATGGATTTAAACTAAAGAAGAATAGATTTAGACTAGACATAAGAAAGAAATTTTTTACAATGAGGGTGGTCAAGCACTGGAACAGGTTGCCCAGAGAGGTGGTAGAGGCCCCATTCTTGGCAACATTAAAGG